CACGTCGTCTTTTATCCAGAAGAAATTAGGTTTAATTTAGAATCTATGACAGTCTAGCTCACAGACCACATAAATTTCTTCCGTGGTCTAGCTAGTCAGTCTGTACGCGACACTTATGATATAACAACATAATAAAAAAAAATAATTTTTGTCGTGTTGTTATACTACGTATAAGTACAATCAGCTTCCAAAATATCCGAACAACTAGACCTTTTCATGATACATTTAAATAATTGTTGATTAATTTGAAATAACTTTTTTGTTTTTAAAAATTTAAAATAATCTAAAAAAAAATAAAAATATAAAATTCTCAAGAAAGACTATGCTATAGTATGTTTCGTAAAAAAAAACTATTATTATAACTAGAAAACACCTGAACTAGAATTGCTCTAAATCTCCAGTAATGAACACCAAAAATCCAGTAATATCTACACTCACCAATAATGAATACCCAGTAATCGATTTTACCATCAAAAAACGTGTTACCATGATAGAACATTATGTCGTAAATCTTATTATAAATTAATTTAAAGAAGATGTCGAACACTGGTGCTAGTCGGTCACTGCCGAAAGAAAAAGATGTGGTGGCCCTTTTTATGTTTACTTTTATTATTATTTTTATAAACACAACAAAGGTGCGTGTAAATCAACAAACAGGTACCTGTCAATTTATACATACATACATACATAAGCTCACGCCTTAGTCCCACAGGAGGGGTAGGCAGAGACCACGGAACACTTTATGTATCAAAATATTTTAATAAAAATCTTTTGTACGCATTAATTTCTGTTATCTGCCTAAAGCATTCATAGAATGCGTTATGTACATATTTGAACTATATAGTAAGTCAAAACTCTTTACTGTGCTTATCTAATCGTGTATACAGAGGTACCATAAGATTATTTTTTGTGGTTAATTTATTTGCGAACGTATTCAAGGAAAGCAAAATTCACCCTTAATGAATATATTTTAGTTTTATTGTATTTATAAATTTCAGTAAACAGAAACACAGATCTGAGGAAAATCGAAAAAGCTATTTGTTCTAGAATGAGTTTATTCATAATATACGTATTCCCACACATTCAAGGAAAACGAGCTCAGCACTAACGGCCCAGAGACCACAATGTTGGCACCTAATATAACACCATTCTTTTAAAAAAATACTTTAATTGTCTCGTTTAGTGTTGTTCATCCATTACTTTGACCTTGGTAGTATAATGTTGGACATTAAGAACACTAACTTAGTTGACACTATGAATGGTGACCTGAATAGTGTTTATAGTGTTTTGTTTTCTTCTAACTCGTGACGATGGATACAGAAGAGAGAGAGTGCGAAGACATTCCGCTATGACGTCATCGGATGACGCCGAGGATTCTTTATCAAGGCGTCTCAGTGCGTTCATTGATGCTGAATTATCTTTAAGCGAATGTAGCGCTTGAAGTTTCTACTTGAGCTGTTATTTATTACACATTGGAAATGAGACTATTTTTTTATCTTATAAATCGCGTATATTTGGGATTTTTACACGTCTTATGGGGGCAGCTATTATAAAAGAGGAGTCCCGTGTTTAGCACTTGCGGCACGTTTGATTATTAATGTCTTTTGGTTATTTTACTTCGCTTGCTTATATCATAAATTTGCTACATATAATATGTCAAACAGTCTGTACAGATTGACAAGTAGTTTTGAGTCCCAGTTTTATTTGTGATTTTTATTATCTACGAAGAATATCATTATAGCAACAGATGCCAATGCGACGTGGACTGGAACCAAATGTAGGATAATAGTCTTTTGTTTAGAATATGGCTGCTGCCAGCAGCTGATTCTGTCAAGCGATGAAAGAATACTAAATGTTTATGTGAACAATGTGTTAGCGCGATTTTTGCGGCATGCGCTAGCGCCGATGTGAATCAGTACAGTATTAGTCCATAAGAGAGTCGCCCGCGCCGACCCGACCGCAAAAAGGATACCATATTTAAATTTAGAAACCCCTTGCCCTTGGACTTGTATTTTTTTTCTCTTTACTTGTGATTTGCGACGCCTACGCAGTTTCTTGTGAACAGTTTTAAGATATACTTTTGTGTGAAATGTCTATTTACCATTACACAGTGAACGATGATATTTATGGCAAAATATTGAAAACTCATAGTAATTTGAAACCGCAGAAGAAAACTGAATATGCTGAAGTTTACGAAGCTGTTGAGGGATTAGGTATTTTTGTTTTACTTTTACTTAAAATTAGTTTTTAGCATAATGCGTCGTGATGTTAGTGATCTAAAGTTGTTTTTAATAAACATAGCATCAGGCTCATTGACTGTCCAGAATTATTATCACATATCACTGAGAGTTCCCTCTAAATCTTTGAGAAGCAATTGACTTTTGATTCTCTTCTCGGCCCATACTCATTACAGGCAAAAATACGTTTACAGTAATGTGTATAATTTTAACATTCTTTTGTAAGTCAATGATTCTATGTAATTCTTTTGATCTGTATCTTCAACACGAGTGTGATTTCGGCAAGGAGAGCACTGTGTATAGTAAGGCTCTAAATTGAGAAGCAATTCACTTTTGGTTCTATCCCCAGCCCACACTCATTACAGGCGAAATGTGTTTACACCAATGTGTATAATTTTAACATTCTATGTAACTCTTTTGATCCGGATCTTCAATACGAGTATGATTTCGGCAAGGAGAGCACTGTGTATGGCGAGGTTTGCAACTGCGATTTTTTATGTTTTACGTAATAATTTGTTTATGTAGTAAGTGATAGGTTAGTAAATTATGCATCCAGGTGCCTTATTATATATTTTTTTATGATACTAAGTGATGGGACGTACAAGTCGTGCGCCTGTTGGTAAACGACACGCCTGTGCATAACAGTTGCAGTGCCACTCAGAGATTTAAATCGCAAAGATATGAGGTGCACTGCCTCTACGTCTATCACCCTGAGACGTATGTTGAAAAGGCCCATGGGCCTGTAATTTCACCAGCACCCTTACCCTTCAAACCCGGAACGCAGTAATGCTCACATTAATGCTTGGCGGCAAAAATAGGTAAGTGGCAGTACTTCCCTCGATGAACTCTTTCACAAGGAGCACTACTGCTACTATATATTTCTTTATTTGAGTCGCTGTAATCGGCTGTCAGTTGTTACTATGATTATTTTAGTTAGTCTTCCTTTTAGAGAAATAAAAAATAAAAAAAGCAATTTTATAAATATTCAAATGTAATACAAAATTTGTTATAGTAGCAAACACGAGACAACTTTGAATCAGCTTTCGTAACTACGGAGTAATTTTGTTACAATACAAACAAGTTTGCTTATCTCGTTTTTATTAAAATTAATAAAAACGAGATAGTGGTCAAAGACCGATAACAGAAGAAATGTGGTAACTTTTGTACCAGCAACCTGTGATTACAATACCGGTACGCTGTAATAGCCGCTTTGACAGATTACAATAGTGAGGGGTCAAATCTCAATTCATTGGCGAAAAAAATATAGTCAAATGTGAGTCGAATCTATAAGTTTTTATATTTATAACTAGTATTGCAAGATAAAAAGCTGCTTAAAAAGTTTTAAGAAAACGAAAATAAAAATGTTTACTTAATATATCGTCAATTCGAAACTTTGTTTTGCATTGGGCTTTGGCAGTTTGCCGGAGGTAGAAGTTGTGCTGGACAGCGATCCTATAAGTCGGTCGTATTAGATTTCATTTTTTAAAATTCTAAAAAAATAAAGTAAAATCATCGTAAACTTATACATCCATAAATTTTTATTCACGTCACTACTGACAACAATGCACAGCAATTAGCTCCTTCAACGTAGTTATGAATTAATACGAAACTTGATGAGCTGATAAACGTCAAAACGGCTATCATAGCGCGCCGGTACTATAATATTTTGAATGTATATTAAAAAGGAATCTTGAATATTTTTGCCATGCAATTATCTCGAGGAATAGCAATCATTATCAATGGCATTGAACTTTGGAAAATAAACTCGTATTCAAGGACGATGTTAAACTGGAATTAACAATTCGTGCAAATAATACTTCAAATTAAAGCCTGTTCCAAATATTAAATAAAATTTTACGATGTCTCTATTCTAAAGTGTCCTTCGTGTTGATTGCACGCAATTATTAAAGTAGAATCACTTTGAGTATGATGTCATTTAGTCATCCAGCTATCAGTTTGTTTACACTAATTGCCTAGACATATATAATTACACCTGTTTTAATATTTATAACCATAGAGAACTTTTAAAAATTCGCTTTGGTTATACGAGATCCATGAAATGAATAACTGTAACTTTAAAAAAAAGACCTCAATAAGTTTGTTTATCGGTTTTTTATTGGAATTACAACTATTTGGCAAGTTTTATTGAAATCGGTTAAAGGAAAGTGCGCGAAACCGGAATCAACCCCTAATTTGCCCCTCTTAGAGGTGGAATATTTTCAAATTTGGATGGGACCAATGCTGAGGTACCCTCTTTCTAACAAAAAAATAATAATCGAAATTGCTACATAAATGCCAGAGTAATGGCGTAACATACACACACAATGCAGTCGAATAGAGAATTTCCTCCTTTTTTGAAGTCTGTTGAAAATGTATTTATTTATCCAGCGAAAAAACTACAACTGTACAGTTCTCTATAATTAATTTACCTTCCCGTTGAAACATTAAAATAACCATTTCGATCCTTATACGCCCCACTGCTATGCACTGATCTTTTCTACAGAGACGGCTTAACTCATCGAGGACTACACGAACCTAAATAAACAATTAGGATGTTTTAGTATTTATTTCACTCGCCTCGCTAAACTAGTCTTAAAATGAACATTTAACCAGTTTTTGTACAATTAGATTAAGTGTTCTGTCGATTTTAAAAATATAGCTCTTCTACTACGTTGCCCTAGACTGCTTGACGAAGCCTAGTGCTGATCTTTTTAATACCTACTTTTATACACTGTTATAATTTCCACTATCTCTTAATTCCAGACGCCCTGCTCGCTGATCTACAAAACTCCATCAACCCCGGTGCCAGAGTCGGGAGTCCAGGTCGCACTAGCTCCCCTGGTGGCCGCACAACTTCACCTGGCAGAACCAGTTCTCCACTCGGAAGGGGAGGTTCTCCCGGTCGTCTGAGTTCACAGGGAAGCCTCAGCTCACCCACATCAACAGGCTATGGCTCCATCAATGGCACAAAGAATATCAGCTCTGATTATGCTAAACCTGGATCGGTAAGTAATTTCTTGAATTATGGGAAAGTACCCCTAACATGTCAACCAACATAATCATAGTTATGAGAAAATGGCGTTCGAAGATTTTTTTCGTGGTTGTGGCTAATGGATTTATGTCAACTGTTTTAATATTTTTTTATTATTTGAAGGTTTTAAATCACTTACTTTATGTTTGTAAAACGTAGACGAGACGACTAGCCCCAATTGGGCATTAACATCTCAATTTTCCATTTTTTGTGGGTTTGCTTATCAACATCCAATTTCAGTTACTGCAATAATTTACAATATGCCATCCAATATGCACATAAATAGTATCGATAACTTCCTAAGGCTCAGTAAACTACTACAGGAAAAACGCTAAACGTCCGATGTACCATTAAAATATTTGATAAGTCCGTGACTATAATTTTTTATAATTATGGGACATATTTTTCTACGTAATCCCAACTTCTTCAACCCATCAAAACTGAAAAATAAGTCTCGAAAAAATAAATCAGATAAAAAAGTCAAATAGGTGAATACGGGGGTTCGGCAATAGTTCGTGTCATATTTCGACAAATTTTGATATTCTGATTGCAGATGAGGAACGGAATACTCGAAATTCCGTTTTCTCCCTGATTTTACTAATTTTATTTTCGCGCTAATTTTGAAAAAGTAAAGTCAGTTGCTTAATAAAGAGCTCTAAATTAAGAATTAAAAAGAAATTCCGAAAAATAGTTTTTATTTAACCTTAAAGACATGTATTTTATCAAACCCTCGTATGTATTGTTAAATTTGAATGCGATATTTTCATTATACTAAGTTTTAATCACTTCACATATTATGTACATTTAGACGTACAAGGAGCTTTGGAAGGCTAACTTTCATGCTAAACTACTCAACCTTCTAAAAACCGTCCATGGGTAAAGAAATTTGCCAAAGAATGGACGCACGTCTATTTGCATTTTGTTACCGTTTTACAAACCGTTCACAATTGATTACAAATTACTTTATTGACCTGAATACTTGAATAAGTATACACTTCAATGTCATAAATTAAATACCTAAAATAAAGTCTAGAATATGTAGTACAATAGACATACATTTGTGGTTTTTCCTCTCACCAAATGGGCTCGTGTATATTTGTTTTATTTTTTGCAATCCTTCCGTCCATTCTGCAATTGTAATTGACAGCCAGGGCTGGGTAAACTACATGTTTTAATTTTCTTCTTATAGTATCGATGGCATTACATTATAAATTGCCATCGCGGTGGAAGGGTTTGCCAATGGTGTAAAGTATGCGCCGATTGTCGCCCAGGATGCGCCAGATGTACAGGAAAGAGAAAACGGTGTCTTATAGTCTGTTTTTTTTTGATGACGGAATAAAATGACAGTTCATTGCGCAAAAATATTGCCCGCTTGCGAGCAGCTAGTGATTGCAGTCGATAAATATTGTATCGACTATCGACAGAATATTGGTCACGCTTACAGAATAATTAGCCGAACTTTTTTCATTTGAATCGTCCTCGACCCACTATTCATCCAATCACTGAGCACAAGTTCATTTGAATTCAATTTTTATAAGTTCACACGTAAATACGCTGTATTTAGGACAATGTTTATGTAAAATACAAACAGGAGACATATTTTAAAGTTTTTCATTTAATTCAATGTAGATAATTAATTCCGGCTATTCTTGTTAAAATGTATATGAATAAAAATTGATCTCGATATTAGTAAGCCAACTGTCAAAATAAAAATAAAGAAGGCAGTAACGTAATTAGTAATCATTGGAACGTAATAATCTATCTATTGTAATAATAATCTTCTTTCACAATCTATCGATAAAATTTTCGACAACAACAACATAACTATTTAAAATTTGATGAAAACTGGCTACCTTGCAAATGTAATTTTAGTCCGTCTTCAAAAAAATTATGAGAAAAATCTAACATCACGAGGTTTAAAACTATAGTGAAACAAAAACTTTATACTAAAGGTTATTATACAACTTCTGCGTACTTGGATGACAAAAATCCGTGGTAGTAACCCGTTTAGCTCATGGAGGTAGTCTCGATCTCTGATGTCTCTGATGTACAATATTAAATGTTATTTACAAAGAGCAACCCCTAGAGTTTCTTGCTCATTCTTCTCAGGGGAATCTGCCTTACGAATGAGCGGTAGAGTTTAACCATTGTGACGATTTCAAGTGTAATAATGCTTACCTATGAAATAAAGATTATTTTGAATTTTGAATTTTGAACATTTTTGATAGCGTACGTAAGTTCCGAATACGAACAAACCTATATTTTAGTAGTTAGTTACCTTTACACTGCTACAAAAGTAACATTTATGTTACACACTAAGCTTCAAAAAATAATATAAGTTAATAACCTGTAGCAGGATAAAGTGTAGGTAAGTAAAAGCGTCACATAAAATCAATGCGACTTTTTCAAGCAAATCGCGTATATTTCGTTTGTTTGAAAAAACAAACATACGCGATTTAAATCCGGAAAAATAGTTTCATTCCCTATGTGTACCAACAATCGCGAAAACCTAAGAACTCGATATGGTTACAAGATTGTGAATGTATATCCAAAATCCTAAAAATAAAAAAGGAAGTATACTCAAGAAAATGCAAGCTATACAGTAATTTATTGATTACATGTCATAATCACAATTTCTGAGTAACTTTATTGTCTAATTTTGTGCGTTCGTAAACTACTTAAGATTTACAATAACAAATTTACTAGCAGTTAAATTCAAAAAAGTTACGTATTATCTACGCGAAAAGGTAAACTATTACGAAAAATGTTAGAAATGTAACCATCTGCAATACTGCTGCATTAGTTTCTATTATAAACAACCATTTTGGCGTGTAAAAAATATATTTTGTGTTTCATACACCAATCTTCTGTTGTCTACGTCGCAAAAGTTCTTTTCGCCGGAATGCATGTCCTTGTTACTCTGTAAATTGATTTGATTTATATCTGCAAGCCACGGAAGAAACAATTTATGTGGTCTGTGCTGCAAGCCTTGTCAGGTCTGTTATTTCCACCGCCTACTACTTCACGTTATAAATAATCTTATAATAGCATCCAATCAGTTCCAATTTATACTTAGCTTAGTTTCTATTCTTCATAACAAGTAATTTTGAAAGTTTTAATACCACTCACTGACCGATATTTAAGTATGTGCTCTCTATTGGGCGCAGATCCATAAAGGGCGTTATTATTATATTGGCATTATTGGCGTTGTAGATATCCTTTGCTCGTCGGATTGCAAATAGGATTACGTTTAATACACACACACATAACAGAACAATAATAAAATCCACCAAATAATGCAGTGTTTTTTCAAGAATGAGGCCGGTTACTTTAGTTTTTTATTTTAAGCCTAATTTGAAGACAACAAATTAGTCGACTGTCATTATTTTAATTTATTTGTTCTAATTTCCTGCTAACACTGGTTTGTCGAGTGATTCGAGGTTCAAGTCAAGTCAAACTTTGTTAAATTTAATCAATATTAAACTGTTATAGTTTTAAAATTGTCAGCCGCTATTTTGTTACCTATAAAATCGAAAAAAAATGTATTTTGTTTAGTTTCCATTTTTTTTTTTTCAAAATATATGTTATTGAGTAAGCCTGTACTAATTCCATATTAAAAGGTGTTAATTTAATTGCTGCTTTATGTCTAGTTTTTATTTCGCCTATAAAGGCGAGTATAAACTGGGAAAAACAATTATTTCACAAAAAATTGATCTTGAAATAAATGCAACTGAAATTTCAACGAATGTTATTTCTTATATCTTTTCTACATTAAATTTGATTATAATGACCCTCCCTACCGACCCTTAGGGTGTACGAGACGGGGACTGTAATAACCTGTGTGTGCACAGGAACCTTAAGTTCAGGTTCTGACCCCAGATCAGCCAGTGAGCAAGGGCTGTCACTGACTTCATCCGGTTCTCAAGAGGTTAGTGCCTCGGGTGAGCCGCCCCGATTGCACGCACGTACAGTAGGTACCCTCCTATTTTCCAGATAGGTAGCGGAGCTGTAGGCACGCTCACATCCCGTTGCGTATTGCACAACTAACAGTATTAGCAGGTCAATGTAAATACTTCCTTAGTTATTTATTGATGTACGAAACTGCATCTGTGTTTGTTTATTTATCCTCTTTTAGCGGTGTTATCATCCTGCTATTGTTCAGGTATAATATTTAACCGCAATGTTTGTTATGTGCTGCGCAATAATTGATTCTTACTGACGCATTGTTCAAAAAGAACAGTTTTATTATTGTACATATTGTGTGTTTAGATTTATTAAACGAATTCTCAAATCTGCACAATAGAGTCCATTATTGCTTGAAACCGTTAATATGTCTAAGACGACGTTCGCCTACTCCCGATTACTGAGATTCATTGATTAATCCAAGAGCAAAGATAGTTCCTATTATAAGGCTGATTTTTATAAAACGAACTTTGAATTTGACTTCATAAGCAATAAGAACGAACTAAGCAAGTTCTTCGTATTTCCAAAAAGGAATTTACCTAAATAGAAAACCACCGTGAGACTCAGACATATTAACTAAAATAACGGATAACTCCCGTTGTATATAAGATTCCCTGCTCCTGTGGCAAGAGTTACATAGGAGAGACCGGTCGTAACATATCCACACGACTGACGGAAGACATACATAGTATGAAGAACCGGGATAATCGGGACTCTGCAGTGACGGAACACTCATTGGATTCGGATTCGACGCACTATATTCGTTTTGATAAAGTGTCCGTACTGGCGAGAGAAAAGCATTTCATTGTGCGGAAAGTACGTGAAGCTATCGAGATTGGTTGTCATTCGAATTTCAATCGTGATAGTGGATGTTCGGTACCCCCCGGCTGGAAAACAGTGTTAGGTACTGCGTCGGTGGTTAGTGTAGACGAGACATTAGAAAGTGACGTTGTTAGTGTAGTGTGCAATCCTGCATATGACTTTAATAAAAATGAAGCAAACGAGGGTAGT